TTGATATATTTTCTGAAATGCCAGAATGTTTACAAAAATATGAAGTGAGATATCGCGAGATTCGACACTAGTGATTACCCCGACAACGCGTACGATATACCGCGCGCGAACAAGAAGGTTCTCGGTTTGATGAAGGACGAGAACAACGGAGCGATCATGACAGAGTTCATAGGGCTCAGGGCAAAGATGTACGTTTTGAGAGTTCTGGGAAAGAGCGATACGAAGAAAATAAAGAGCGTTAAGAGGAGTATCGTCGCAAAAACGATAACGTTCAAGGATTTTGCGCGTTGCTTGAACAAATCACAGCAATCGAGATGTCAGACGTGCGTACGCTCGATACTGCACGAGGTTTACACCGTGCCCGAACTAAAGCTAGCCTTGAGTCCTTACGACGACAAGCGATAACGTAATACCCGATACATTCCATCGATACATTACCGTGGGGTCATTATAAGATACTGTTATCAGATACCAATGTAGTATAAATACTTTTACCAATGTAGAATGAGTAATCGTTTCACGTAAGATATCTTTGTATTCTTTATTCATTAAAATACAGCCGTTTTATGTATCTAAGAGTTATGTGTATTGTCCATTCCTAACCATTTGACAAAAACGTATCGTCCTTTCTACGTAGCATCTTCTCTACAAGATAGATATTGGAAACTCGCAGTAACTTGTGTTTATAGAATCCTCCGGTCACTAGCTCTCCGCGATAGTCTTTCAACAGATACGTCACGGAATTCGTGCGTTGCACCTTGGCGATTTGAAAAATCTCGGTCATCCAGTTAGGCGTATATCCCTTCTCGAAAATCGTTTTGAACTTGCTGACGTACTGGATCGTTCACCTTGAACCTCGCGGGGGCTACGATCTTCAAATGACTGTATACCGTGGAGAGGAGTCTCTTGGCAACGGCGGAAGTTACGTCACATTACGATCATTCGATGCACGCGGTTGTTATATTGCGAGATTAAACGCGGTAGAGCGTCGAGCCATCTGTACAATCCGTTGAGCCTTCACATGTCATTGTTGAGCGTGCGACACTTTGAAAACGATGTTAACTCGTTCCATCACCGCCGCCTTCATCACCGAATACGTCGAGTAGTGACGTATATCGTATCTATCCATAACCGTTTTTATGGAGGCGTTGAACTCCTTGCCCTTATCCATTTGTAGATTTCGCGAATGTCGAGCGTCGTCGCAAAATATCTTGGACAATGCCGCGGCTACTTTGCTTCCGCTCTTGCTCTTCAGCGGCACCTCTCTTGCTCAATGTCGATAATCGTCATCACGTAATTGTAACCTTCGTTTTGTCATGCGTATGAACGCATCTCGACGACATCGGCCTGCCAGGTCGTCGTAACTGCGCACCACGACGTGACGACGGGAAGCGTTTTTTTCGCGCGGGTGTGTGACGAGTCTTTTCTTCTCAACGCTCATCGTTGATTTACGCGGAGGCGCGATTCGTGCTAGTTTTATTCGTGTTCATCGCTTCGCGCGTTCGCTCTTGTTCCTCGTTCCAAACGTTAATCGCGTGTTTCATGGTATTCGGGATATCCGTTTTTAGCGCGACTAGTAATTCGTCTATCGTTTTCCTAGTCACCATTTTATCCACGTTCAACGAGGCCAGCGTTTTGTCCAGCGTCTCTTTCGTTATCGCTTTGTCCATCAGTTCTCTCGCGATTCTCGTCAAATCTATCATGCTACGCGCAAGATTCTCCACGTCGAGATCCTCTCGCCACTCGTCGACGACGCGTCGAGCTCGTTTCGCAGGGATTCCTCTAGATTTCGCAATGATTCTTCTAGGTTCCGCGTTCGTTTCTCCTGAGCATTGCCGAGCGTCTCGATGATCCTTTGGATCTCATTCAAGTCTCTAGCTCGTAGTTCGTCTCGTTTCTCGAGCGCTCGTTCCATCGTGTCTCTCGTCTCTCCTATTCATTTATCGAGATCGACGAGCGAAGCCTCCCTCCTCTCCTCGATCTGTCGCAACGCGTTGAGTTCTTTTTCGCAAGGATTCTTCTAAGTTCCGCGTCCGTTTCTCCTGAGCATCTACGACTTTTGAATCTCGTTCAGGTCTCTCTCTCGCAATTCCCGCTTCTCGAGCGCTCGTTCCATCGCGTCTCTCATCTCCTCTATTCGTTTGTCGTGATCGACGAGCGAGACCTCCCTCTTCTTTTCAAAGTGTCGCAGAATGTCCATTTCAGTTTTTATGTCGTAATACTGTACGAAAATATTCCGAATCCGCTTGTTCATATCTTCCAGCTGGTTTCGTAGCTCGTTAGAGTTTGTTAGAGTTTTCCTCGCTCCTTATGTGAAGCGTGTCGTCGACGTAACTCTTGGTCGTCGCGTCGGTATCGTCGATCGGCGCGTCCAGATGCCGTATCTTGCGTTTGTTGACGTCGTAGTCAGTCGTCCGGATTCAGGCAAAACGCGTTGCGATGCATGTACGCTCGTAGAGACTCGATCATCGGACGATCGTCGACGTCGCGTTGTCTTTCCAGACACTTCCCGAATTTGTTCATGGATATCAAGTCTTCGCGGATGACGAATCTACCACACGCAATAATCTGTTCGTAATCTCGGCGATCTGCGTATCGTTTAGAATAGAAACAATCTGACTACACGCGCCATAGATTCCTCCAATTCGTTGATTGACTTGGCCGTCTTCTCGTTCGTCTCCGACAGTAACGCTCGGGTGCTCGCCGAGAGTTCGTTCACATAGCTTCTCGTCTCGAAGATCCTTGTCTCCGCGTCTCGAAACGCGCTATCCACGTAGCTCTTCCTCGGTGTCGTTATCGGTTCTCGGTGCAGTTAAACGCTGTATGGTTTTGTCTCTCGCGTTGTAGTAATCATCACTCAGACAGAGCGCGTTGTTACGCACGTAACGACGTAGGGACTCGATCGACTGTCGCGAGCGTACTCTGTCGCCTCCGCCGAACGACTCCAACGGTCTTCCGAACTTATTCACCAACATAACGAGAATACCGGTCGCCGCGAGCGCGCGCCGCGTTTTACTCGATCGCGTTGATCTCGCGAAGCTCCTCGATTATCGACAGAATCTCGTCGTGAGCGTCGTTGCCCGCTCGTCGAGAGGCGTCGAGCAATCGAAGATGATCGACTAGCTCGTTGGGATCGTCCCAGTGAACGTATTCGATTCTTTTGTCTCTCATCCATATAGCGAATAGAGAATCGATCCTCTTTTTTTCGCCTTACCAGCGCCAATTTCCGTCTCTATCGAGCAAAAGCGATGCGATGATGTGCTTGTACTTGAAACCTTTGTTCCTTAGAACGGATAAGCGCGTTGTGACCACGCTGATGGGCGTTCGTAGTCAACAGTATGCTCTTGTACGTTTGCTTGTCATTCTCCGTGTATACGACGTCGTCGGGGAATCTCTTGAAGATCAACTCGTATAAGCCCGGATCGCGTTACAATCACGCTATTGTCGGCGGCCACATCGAATCGCTTGTCGCCGGGCATCGAGCCGCCTTCGTCGAAGTAACAGCCCGTAAACGTGGTCGATCTCGGTTATTATGACAGTTATTATGCAATATTAGAACATATAATTAAAACATAGAAGAAATAGTAGGACAGAGTAAATGCCAAATAAGAGCCAACATTAGATATGTGTGATTACGTAGTGTATTAACTAAAATAAAATACGATAAAACAAATGTAGACCGTTTTGGTCTCAGGACCATCTTCAGTACAATATGTCAAAATTTAAAAGTCATTAATATGTCAAAATGTGAAAGTCGTAACATAAAAAGATATATAGTTGAAAAAAAAAGTTGTGTTGTTAAATTAAAACATAGAACATATAATTGAAATATATAATTAGAATATATAATTAAAACGTGATGAATTAGAACACATAATTAAAAGAACAGCTAGATTTTAAAACATCAATCGCAATCACTGTCGTTGCATTTCCCACTATTATTTTCAAAATCAAAGTCAGAATCATACTTATTAGAAGTTTTTAAGGAATTTTCAGATTCATCAGGGAAAATTAAAAGTTCTAAGGCCTCCGAAGATAACTTTTTACCTTTTTTGGGGGTCATTTGTCTCATACTGGAAATAAATGGATCTGAAGATACTAGTGAAACACATCTTCTATTGTGTTTTTGCGTGAATTTTTCCTGGAAAAATCTTCAGGGTATTTTTTTATATCCTTATTTTTGGCTTCCTGGGCATCTTCGGATAATAGACTGATTGGCAGATTGTATTATTGTACGGCTGATTGTATTATTTAAGCTCCATGTATTAGAACTTTATGAACTGTCGTGAACATGTAATACCAAGGAAATTTTTCTACGCATATTTCCGCAGTATCAAGACAATATTTTTGAAATTTTTCAACGTTTACATTGTATCCACTTGATATGACCTGCAAGATAATATGAAATCGCTTAATGAAATCTTCATCCAATTCTAGGATTGCAACAGACACCGATGACTGTTCAAAAAAACGACGAGCCGTATTGTCATCTATGGAATTGCCATAGTCATTTTGGATGATCAACAAGAAGACCTAGCTGTGTCTTAAACCCCTTCTGAATTGCTTTTTTCCGAATTTCGATTGCATTTTTGTCTTCCGTTGATCGCGCTTGCCATTTTTTATTATCAAGTTTATATCCAAGATGCAGCAAATACTCAAAAAAACGAATCCATGCGTGTAACGTTGATAATCCGTAACTCAAATTAAATATCAATTTTTTTACGTTTTACTAAATCAAGATTATTAAATTGTTTTGACGTTGCTCCGCATAAGTAGCAGTGATGATTTAATAGATGTTATCGCGTTACACACCTTACTACCAATCATTTCGTAATGTATTATTACTTCTTTTCCGTCCCAAATAATTTTAAAAGAAGAAACGCAATTTGATCTTCAATATATTTCTTCTCATTTAAAGTAGTCTACTAAAGTAGTCTACATTCTCATGTAAAAATTGTAGCCTTATAGGTCTACAAAAACGAAGTGACGAAGGTTGCGAATTTTTCCATACTATTTCTTTTCGAAATTTATCGTCCATGGGAACCAGTTGCAATAGAACAAGTGAAGTAATAAACATATTAGCGTCCGTGCTAATATCATCGATAAACTTTTGTTTGTACTCGCTTTGCCCTGAAGTACCATCACACTCCCATTTTAAAATCAACTTGACATTTTTAAGAATTTTCGGAAATAATATTTTTATGGTATCCTTTTGAACATGTAAAATTCTTTGTCTATGTATGATTTAAAAGTGCCTGTACACTGACTTCCGCATGAGTCTCAGTTACCTGAACATCTCTTGGGTAATATCGAACTTTGGCTTTTAAAATCCCGTAAGTGGGATATATAAGAGCATTGTGTTTTTTCATTGAATTTCTAATAAGTAAGTACTGATTTTTTGATAATTTTCCTTCAACGACATCGGAAAGAGCAGCATCATCAGACATTTCAATAATAGCGAGAATTGTGGATAATTTTAATGCTGTTCTGTATTTATCAGCTCGCGTTGGTGTCGTTGATGTAATTTCTTTGATGATACTGGCAGCAATAAAGGCTCCAGAAGAACGAAGGCTCATTTCAATAATCAACAATAACTCCGATATGCTTCGTGAATTACGTAAATCAGTAGCTTTTCTTCTCTTAATTCGATCACTTGCTTCCTCGAACTCCATAGATGGTCGACCGCGTTTCTTTGATTCCACGAATTTCGATTTTGCTCTACTCATAGGCCTACTTTTAGGCGTACTCGAATCCACAGGTTTTTCATTAATTATACAAATATTCTGTGGAATACATAATCAAATTATTATGAGGAATTTTAAATCTTACTTTTAATTTTTTTGATAATTTGAATTAAAAATGACATATTTCTTTTCGCATTGTTCGGAACAAGACATACAGTGATCGTTAGTTTTTGATAACATTGAATTCCTGTGTGTCGAAAAACATAAGTCGAACGATTCGAGACAATAGACAATACAATAGACAATATAATAGACAATACACAAACAATAATAACAAACACGTTCTCCTTCGAAGTTATACTTATTATAATATTCACGTTAATAATTATGGAAGAAGAAAGCCACTTTTCATTTTTTTCGAAATTTATCGTCCATGGGAACCAGTTGCAATGGAACAAATGAAGTAATAAACATATTAGCATCTGTGCTAATCTCATCGGTAAACTTTTATTTGTACTCGCTTTGCCCTGAAGTACCATCGCACCCCCATTTTAAAATCAACTTGGCATTTTTAAGAATTTCCGAAGATAATATTTTTATGGTATCCTTTTGAACATGTAAAATTCTTTCACATATATGATTTAAAAGTGCCTATACACTGACTTCCTCAAAGAAACGTTCTGTTGTTCTTTGAGATAGTTTCTATCTCAATTGTAATTTGGACAACAGTTCCTTAACATTTTTTAGATCTTTCAAGTTAATTCTAAAACAACATTTCATTTTTGCAACAAAATATTATTCCACTGATTGACATTGTATGTCCAAGCTCGAATGCCAATCATTTCGTATAATTTCAAAAATTTCCCGTCGAGTACAGACCACTTTATCAATATGCGATCCTAAAATACAAATGTAATGTAATATTAAATATGATTTTTTAGATTAGATTTTTTCTTAGAATTAGCATTATTTAATTGCAAAATAAGAAAAATTATTTCTCAAATTAATATTTTTGCGGAGTGTTACGCAAATGATTAATTGTAAAAATTTATGAAAATTCAACGGTACATTAAAATAAGACACCTGGTATATACATTAAAATTATGTTATTAATAAAAAGCAGATGTATATTCTGTTCATCTTTCAAGAACAGGTAGTTCCCGACCTCTCTGCATGCCTGTACGTCGAGCCTAACCATATAGCTGGCTCGGTGCCGCTGCATTCGAAATGGTTTCACAATGACAGAGGCAGAGACGGGCAGAATTTTCTTCAAAATTTCATCAGAAAACATCTTAACCTATATGTTCAATGTAATAACTTCACAGCTCCTCGCGGCGTGATAACTTTTTCGATAATTTACAGTAAAAATTTTTATAAAAAGAACACTTGTTCAGGCAGGTCTTTGACATGATTTTTAATACACGCTGAATATACATTAACGAAAATGTAGTATATGCAAATATTCTACATACTTTCGTTGACATCCTCCATCAAACAGAATTGAGAAAAGACACTCCAATAAAAATTACATGCACTTGAAGAACATTGAATATTTCGGACGCG